ATGTAAATTTAGAGCATTTGATGTAATTTGAGAAAGTTTTAAGGAGTGGTATGGTATGGACCATATCGTTTTTACACATTATTTTTATAAGAAACCGCTCAAAATATATAGGTAACAGTGACAGTTTAATTCAACTAGTTTAGAATTATGTATGATGTTTTGACATAACCAAAATATCATCTCGGATTTAGACCAAAGAAGCGGAATTATTCTTGTGAACAACTTCGAATTAGTAGATAGAGCTTTAGAGGAAAAGAATATAAGAATGTTTCTTGTGCTTAGAAAAAGTCTTTAAGAGTATGTTCTAAGCAAGGTTTCTTTAACCTTTGTCAAAAAGATTTAGTATCGGACTTTGGTCTTAGATTCTTAGTGCTAGATAAATCGGTTACAGTAGTGTTTGTTTTAGATGATTTATTCAAAAAGGAATTTTTACATGTTCTCCCGGAATTTGGTTAATGAGAATCACATTTTCATTCATTTTGCAACAAAGAAATATATAACTGTAAAATCGTTGTCGAAAAGGAATTCATAAAAGAGAAAGTAAAAGAAAAAATATTTATAAGACAACGTGTGTCGAAAAGAATGATTTTATAAATATTTTTAGTTTGTTTATCACACCACCAGAGATAAGTATTAACCCAACTATCTCTTCTGAGATCAAAAATCTCAATGTTTTCTCCAATTCTCTATCTCTAGTCACCCTATTAGGTTAATTATTTAGATTTGGTCATACAAAATTTCAAAGCTTTTACAAACAAAAAAAAAATGGTAAAAACCATAATGAAGAGAAAAACTATTTTTTTAAAGCAAAGTAAATCATGGGGTGAAACTCGGGAGTATGTAAAAAGTTCGGGAAAGTATGTAAAAATTACTTTTCAAGACTTGTAGAAAGTCGTTGACAAAAAAAACAACTTGTAGAAAGTCTAATATTTTTGGACGGTGTTTAGGCTTTTGGGGTTTAACTTTTGGCTTGTATCAGCAATAGGCCGTTGTGTATATCTTATGGTTGTAACTCCTGTGTGAACGATGTAACTTTAACCTTGTTATATATTTTATCTTAGCTGCC